TCTCCCCTTGCTCTTCTCCTCGTGCGATGGATTTAATTAAAAAACATAATTTAGAAGGGGGGCAAGATAACAGGTAGCTTCTTTCTGGTGGGAACTAGCTAAGGTTATATCGCAGGTTCTAACGCTTACTCTTGTCGGCCTGCGGTCACTCATGAATAAGATTATTAATCTCGTCTTCCACCGAAAGACTTTCTTTCCTCCCTTAGCGTGGATTCATCCGTCTAATTTTTCGATCGAACCTTGTCGGAAGAGAAATATTATTTATAAGTGTGTTGTTGGTTAAACTAAGTTTCAAAAAGTTCAATCAATTCGTTACAATCGATTTGAAATGTTTTTCATTAAACGTGCTTAAATAAATGAAGAAATCATATAAGTTGTTACGTTTATCAAGATAACGTGAGATAACGATGGCATAGATAAATAGATAGATAGATAGATAGATAATCAAGTTGAGAATCGCTGATCGAATTCGACGAAAGATTCGACGAAGAACGGGGAAGACTTAAAAATCCATTTGTCAGAGGCCCTGTCGCAAAAGGGCGTCGTCTTATAGCGAGATTAAAAGAAGAAAGACCGACGACGGGAGTTACCACCAGCAAGAAATAGCCATCGCCATCGCCATCTTGTCCTGAGAATACGATCGTCCGTCCACTTCTTCATGAGTTATCCTTTTCGTTGGCTTTTATTCCTTTGCGTGTTCCTTTACAAATTCATTCTCAGGTAAGAAAATTTACTAACCGAAAAATTTCGTTTCTCGAGGTTAAACCACAAACGTTCTTCTCTACCCAACCATATCCCAGGGAATGGTTCAATGCTATTGGAATTAATTTTTTCACTGAATCAAATAAAATTGAAATAAAAAACAAAACACACACACATATATATATATATATATATATATATATATATATGTTTGCCACAACTGAATGAGACGCGCCATATGTTCGTGTTCGTGGCGAATAAAATTTCATCTATAGATTTTATTATTATTATTATTATTATTATTATGTATATAGTGAAAAAGAGAATAATTTTAGTCAATGTGTGTCTATAGAAAATAAAATTCGTGACAAAAGGTTGAGAGAGAGGTAGAACCAGGCGCCGTTTTTTTTTTTTTTTTTCTTTACGATCCGAGCAATTATCTAAGAAAGACGAATAGACCGCACGACTATTACCTACTATACTACTCGTGGTTGGCCACAATCACGGTACCTAGGACTTATGAAGAAAGAAAGAAAAAGAAAATAAAAAGTAAAAGTAAAAAAAAAAAGTCCTCTTATCGAAAGCACTCCTTCTTCTCCTTCTTCGTTGAAAAAAGTAGGAGGTAATTGGTCTTATAGTCCGATAAACAAATAATTTCTCCCATAAAGCACACGCGCTGCGCGATAATATAAATCAAAATACTGTACAAGTTGTTATTTTTTATAATCTTCCAAGAGTGTTCCAAATTTATGTCTTTTTTTCTTTTCTTTTAAAGTGTAAAAAAAAAAAAAAAACCGAAGAAACACATCGAGGTAATAAAAGAATATCATCGATAGAAAAGAGGAAAACTGGGTTGTGTGATACAGGTGGATATATATTTGGAGAGTTTGACCCATGCCGCATCATGGGCAGGTGCTCCAGGGCAGCGGTCAATGGCTCTCAAGAACGTCCGTCACTTTTTTTCTACATGGAAACCAGAAAAGAACGCCGACTAATTTCGAAGGAAGCTCCATTACCACGGAAGAACGACGAAAAGGGACTCTCTTCTCGGTTTTCTTTTATCTACTTTCATCCTTATCCCGTTTTATTCCAATTCTTTTTTTTTTTTTTTTTTGTTAATAAAATAATCATCTTGACAATATTCCACAAATTAGTCTCACCTTTCGTAGTGCTTGTCCAAGTTGAGTCGTAAAAAGGGTCGAATAAGTTTGACAGAGACGTCGGATGTGGTTTGCCACAAGCTTTCGCTATGTAGTCACCCCTACGTTTTAGCGGGTTAGCACCCTCGCGCGCTTGTCAATCGTAACAACCCCTCCTGGTGCTACTGCTGCTGCTGCTGTTGCTTCGATGACTGTCAGCTGCTTAGCTCGAACGCTTCAACGCCTACGATTTACCTTGTGCTTTATTTCACTCATTTGCTAACAAAACTGTCTTTCTTTCTTTCTTTCTCTCTCTCTTTTTTGTCACATTCATTTTATACAAGAAAAAAACCCTCAATAAAATATAGAATCACGATGGGAAATCATATTTATTGATTTCTTGCTGAGAAAATGAAATCTCTTATGTCCGATATCGTTTAATATATTGTCCAACGGTCTCTAAAGTTTTCCCTTCGGTCCAGTCTTCTTCTCGTGAGTCGACGATGCAGGACGATGGCTCTTCTTCGACGCGCTATGAATCTCATTCGCTACACTGTCGGCTCGTTTCGACACGCATCCATGCTCACGGTGAACACGACCAGCGCACAAGAACCTCATCGTACGGTTCACAAATTCACACTGGATTTATCGATGTGTCCATACAAGTTCAGAGGACACTACTAACCATAAACCTTTGTCATCTTTCCTTTATTCTCTCTCAAGGATCAAACTAATCCAACAAATACAATAAACTAATCTAAAATATACGTGATTTTCAAAAAAAAAAAAAAAATAGTTTCTATGTAATAGACCAGAGTTAGATAACTCATGTTAGCTAAAGATAAGTTAGTTGGTGATTTCTTGGAAGGTAGAAAAGATTGAAGAAAGTCTCCTCGATGATTTTAATTTATGCGCGGCATGGCTGGAGGCGTTATTAGTCCTAGCTGGATACGATGGGCGTGACGTCACGCGGCTAAAACAAAGGATCCTGCCGAGGAGCCCATCCCATGTCGGTTCTCTTTCAAGCGTGCCGACAGGACGGCGCGAGCCATTGGATCTTTTCTGCATCAGCGAAGGTTCGATGTTTTACGCTTCGCAAAGTTCCTGCCCTTAAAGCGTTCCTTCCTTCCTTCCTTCCTTTCTTTCTACCATATATATTTCTTTGCGAATGGAAAAAAAGACTAATACCACGCTCGTTATCTAAGGAATCGATCAAATTTATTATTTCGTTTGATTCGCAAGAACTCTCTCTCTCTCTCTCTCTCTCTATCTCTATCTCTATCTCTCTTGTATCGATAACGCGTTAAACGCATACGAGAAGAGAAGACGGACAAATTATAAAGCGCGATAAACGATGAATATCTAAGTACGAAAGGATGTCTTGAGAGCATAGGTTAACAGCTTCGTTTTAACTTACTCGCTAATTATAGAGCGCGTGACCTCCAGGCTAACGCAACTCTCAAAGAGATAGGCTTACTACGTCGTCTAGGTATATCTCTTCTATCTAATCAATGATGCTCTTTGCTATTTAATTCTCCATAGTTAGTGACGTTGCTTTCAAACGTTTCAACTCTAACGCATATATACCTACGTCGTCGTCTTATTCCTTATTCCGTATGAAAATGTAGTTCGGAAAAGAAATGAAAGCTAATTGAGAGATGTCGCGGCGTTGTCTCCGTAGGCCACTGTCACATTGTTCCGACGGATCAATACCTCTAGTCTACCTACAACCTGCACCCACCGAGAGCTTCAAGAGGGCGTGGCTCGTACACCACCAGAGAGATGCTCCCACTCTCTTTCTCTTTTCGCCCTCTCGCCCTCTTTCCCCATAGCATTCTCATAGAATCATGGAAAAAGCAGAAAGGAAGGGACGATTTTATCTTCCACCCTTGGAAAGTTACTCTCGGAGCAATGAGCAAGCGCCGAATCTCGTTGGATCTTTGTCAAACGTTTTTCTCACCCTGTCTTCCTATTCGTCAACGTGCTAACATACGTGTAAAGCCGATGACACGTTGAAATACGAAATCTTATCGTGCCAGCTATCGACCTTGACATCCAGTTGAATTCAAATTATCGAGAAAGTCCATAGTTACTACTACCCTTTCATTCGGCTACATAGAATTCCTATAGAACCCTATCAGGACAGAGGAGGGTAACTACGAAACGGTCCGTTCCTCTGTTACGCGAGTTCTCTCTTCCACCTTGATTCTCGATGGATACGCGTATATTCGTTGTCTTTCTTTGGTGTTGATGCAAGGTCGAACGGTGTGGGGGCGTGTCGCCTCGATGGCGCCGGCTGCTAATGGCCGCGCGGCCTGCCAGACTTTAATTTCCTGCCGCTTCCGCGGACCCTTTGCCTTTACCTTTTCTATCTCTTTCCTTCTTTATGTGACTCTCTCTCTCTCTCTCTCTCTCTCTCTCTTTCTCCTCTATATCCGAATCTACGGACAGTGGGAACCCTTTGCAGCCTCCGGCCTTTCGGTAGCCACTGACGGACCACGTTGCGTCCTTCGACCCCACTGTTCCTCTTCTTCTTCTTCTTCTTCTTCTTCTCCTCGCCGTACGATGATTTGCATGAAACTGCTCTTGATGAGCTTCCTCGATTCGCCCCGGAGGTTCATTATCTAAAGTCTGCTTATTCCACGCTAACCGGCGTAGTGGTCCATCTTTTCGAGTTCGTCGCCAAAAGCTAATGAGAGAGAACCCCCGACGTGTTCCACTTTTGAACAAGGGATAGAAATAATCTTTTGGAAATCGAGAATATGATATTAATTGACTCGTCAGGTCTACCTGTTTAACATATATACTACTTATATATCGGGTGAATAAAGATGTTAAAGTCTTGATTGAAGGACATCAAATTCGAGCGAAGCTTATATGACAATGATTTGCATAAAAATGCGCAATATTCAATCAATCGAATTACGCTTTTTCGTCAACGGCAAACTTTCTCATCTTTTCTAGCATAGAAGGGCCAATTTAGTGTCATTATATACTCCCTCGAAGTTGGGCTTCTTTTTTAAGTCGATTTAGGTGCGATTATGGACGAACACAGCAGGCCCGGTCTCGAGTAACTAATTTGTAAAGAATCGACGAAGAGGAGAAGATCGATTATTTGGAGCGTTGACTAACGTTGTCTTTTTTCAATGATCGTTGCAGGATCATCCAGGACTGCGGGGAACGCCATTGGCAATGTTGGCGGCGCAATGTAACAAATTGAGCAGCAAAAGTCCACCGCCACTGGCAGATGCGGCAGTTGGTAAAGGTTTTCATCCATGGAAGAAGAGTCCTCAGAGCAGCGGCAGCTCACCACAACACTCGTCTGGCGGCGGTGGCGGTGGAGGCGGAGGCGGAGGAGGAGGTGGAGGTGGTGGAGGGGGGTGTACGACGACGGGAGTAAGTCAAAGACCGACGGCGACAAGCAGCGCCGGTAGTACGAGCGGTGGTTACGCCCGAGCACCGGTCACTTCTTGCGCTTCAACGGCACCGCAATACGGTAGCGAGCTATATTTTCCTGGTACTGCGAGCGCACAACCTGCCGGGGATCCTCATCACCATCAGAGCAGCCTACTTGGAAAGGTCGAAGGCGCGACACTCGGCTCGGTATACGGTAGACACCCTTACGAGTCGTGGCCGTTCAACGCCATGCCAGGCGCTACGCACGGCGGCATAAAAGCCAGCGACGGTTGGTGGGACGTTCACGGTGCCACAGCCGCCGGTGGTTGGTTAGACGTTAGCGGCACGGTCGGTGTCGGAGTTCATGCCGCGCAAATGGCCAATTACTCGGCAGACTACTCTACGAGCTTAGCATTGGCCGGCAATCATTTGCTTACTACGGCCACTACCGCCGGTCACAATCTACTCCAAGACACGTACAAATCTATGCTACCCGGGGGTCCTCCCGGATTCGGGCTCCATCATCACGCAGCAGCAGCGGCCAGTGCCGGTGCCGGTGGCGGCGCCGGAAGTCCGCAAGGAAGCGGAGCCGGCGTCGGCGTAGGCGTCGGCGGTGGTGCCGTTAGCCAAGCACCCTCGCCGCGCTCGCAAAGACGTTACACCGGTCGTGCGACCTGCGACTGTCCTAATTGCCAAGAAGCCGAGAGACTCGGTCCCGCCGGCGTACACCTCAGGAAGAAGAACATCCATAGCTGTCACATACCTGGTTGCGGCAAGGTCTACGGAAAGACGTCCCATCTGAAGGCCCACTTACGGTGGCACACTGGTGAGCGACCGTTTGTTTGCAACTGGCTTTTCTGTGGCAAGCGGTTCACACGTTCGGATGAGTTGCAGCGGCACCTTCGAACCCACACCGGCGAAAAGAGATTCGCCTGCCCGGTCTGCAACAAGCGGTTCATGCGCAGCGACCATCTCGCGAAGCACGTCAAGACCCACAGCAGCAGCAGCAGCGGCAGCAAGGGCAAGGGGGGAGCGGGGAGCTCGTCAGCCGAGTCCTGCTCCGACAGCGAGGACAACGGGAGTCAGCAGAGTCCCACTTCCAGCTCGGTGCCGCCGCAGCAGCCGCCACCGCCGCCGCAGCAGCAGCAGCAGCAGCAGCAGCAGCAGCAGGCTCAGGCGCAACAGCAGGCTCAGCAGCAGGCGCTGGCGGCGGCAGCGG